TTGTGGTGGTGTGTTTGATATAACTAAATATATATTTCAGGACCAACAAATCTTTCATGAGAAGGAAAAGATCTCTGTAATCCTTAAACTGTGGAAGCTCTCACATATTTACTAAAGATAAAATTTATCAAAAAATTGAAAGGCTATAAAAATAGAAAGGGATTGACTATGTAAAGGTAGTTCTATGTTAGACAATAATTTTTGACTTGCAAGGAACTTTACATATTCTAGAAAATAGATTGTGGTTGCTGGATTGTTTGATACATAGTATGATGGATCCACAGGAACAGAGAGCATCCAAGTGGGCCTCTGGGAAAGCAGTGTAGGGAGATTCATGTGGGGGTGGGGTGAAGGGGTTCTGCAGCAGTGTGAAGGAAGCAAGAATGAGCAAAGGGAAAAATAGGCCTTGTATGCAGCCAAAGTACAGGCCATGGTGAGTCACAGGTGGAACCCTGGGCCTTGGATTGCTCTTCAGGATTGCTGTGAGCCATGCTGTGAGGAAAAAGGGCCATTGTTATACTCCTGTATGGATCCGTCACTGGGTGTGAGCTGTCTGCAGAAAGGAGCAGTGGTCTTGGGTGATGTGCTCTCCTCAGCCACAGGCAGTGCCTGAAGTGTGGGCCTCAGGACAAGCATTAAGCCAACAACATTCCTGGGAAGTAGAAAGCCGAGTACCTCAGTTCTGCAGGGGAGGATGGACTGGCATATCACAGAATATGTCATGTACCACCACAGGTGGCACAGAAGACTTCTAGTATTAATAAAGTAAATTGGCCTCTGTACCAGTATATTTGAATCCCCAAGTAAAGGGCTGCAACCTAACTTTTGTACATAATCAAACTAAAACCCTAATTTCATTATTTGCCCTTGTAACAAGTAGCTGGGTCCCAGCCAATCACAGCACTGAGCTTCAATAGTAGGCGGCCAACTGTTCAAGCCATGTTCAAATAGGGCAAACCCCAACCTGGAACCAATCCAACTTTCTCATGGGTGCTTTCCATGTGTCACTTCACTTTTTCCATCCATAAATGCTTTTCAGATCACATTGCAAGTGGGAGTCTCCCTGAATCTACCCTGGTTCTGAGAACTGCTCAATTTATGAATCTTTCCTTAAATTTAATTGGAAAAAGTTTTTCCTTTGACACTGGGATAAGAAAGAATCTTAAAGATTTAAGAGGTATTTATCTGGGGCCAGTGCTGTGGCATAGTGACATAGTGGGTAAAGCTGCCACCTGCAGTGCCGGCATCCCATATGGGCGCTGGTTCGAGTCCTGGATGCTCTACTTACAAGCCAGCTCTCTGCTATGGCCTGGGACAGCAGTCCTTGGGCCCCTGCACCTGCGTGGGAGACCCTGAAGAAGCTCCTGACTCCTGGACTCAGATTGGCCCAGCTGCAGTTATCACAGACATTTGGGGAGTGAATCAGTGGATAGAAGACCTCTCTCTCTCTCTCTCTCTCTCTCTATATATATATATATATAGCCTCTCTGTAACTCTGCCTTTCAAACAAATCTGAAAACAAAAGAGGTATTCATTTGACAGAGTAAGGTGTGTAGAGATATTGAGGGTTTAGGGAGATTGCAAGTAGTTACTGGAACAGACTCAGCACCACAGTGAGGAAGGCCCTGGGGTGAGTAAGTGTAGGGGAAATCTACAGCAGTAGCAGCTGGATGAGTAAGTAGCGAGCGAAGGACCTTCATGGTAGATTTTAGCTTCGAGATGTTTGAATGTTGTTGAAATACACGGATGAGGGAAAAGACCAAGTCTGATCGTATGTTGGGAAAATCATCCCAACAATAATGTGGAAGATCTATTTGAGAGTGTTACAGCTAGAGACAGGAAGTCTCTATAATAGTGTGGGTGTTAGATGATAAGTATTGAATAATACTCCCTCCCTAGAGGAGATACTTAATAATTTCACATTGATGGTGTGCTATTTCACATGATATGTTTATCATGACACTCCTACATTATTTTTTTGTATTTATATTCTCTTGAGTACTATAGATTTTGCCTTCTGTCTGAAAAAATTATCAATTGGGATTTCCTTGGAGGATAAAGAAAACTACATGTATCACACATACATTTGTATGCTTCTTTGCAGCACTTATTTTTAGTATGTGTTAAGAGTATGAGAAAAGTTTTATTTTTTACTTTTAAATGTTTTCTTTATTTGAGAGACAAGCACACAGAGACAGAGCTCCTATCCACTAATTCACACCCCCCCCCCCCACCAAAACACCCACAGCAATTGGAGAAGGGACAGGGCTGAAGCTGGGAACTCAATCCAGGTCCCCCGCACTGGAGGCAGAATTCAATCATTTGAGCCATTGCTGCTGACTTTCAGTGTCTGAAATTAGCAGGAAATGGGAGCCTAGAGCTGGAGCTGGTAATTGAACCTATACTCTCTGTTGTGGGGGGTACAAGCCTCCTAACCAGCCTCTTAATTGCTAAGCCAAATGTCCAAACTGTTTTCTTTTTATTTCTCAATTAAATCTGTATACCATGGTTAAACATATTCCAAGTATTTTCAAAATAAAAATTCCAAGACAGAATTTGAGAGAGGAAAACAGGAAGATGAAAATATTTTAAAAAGCCTAGCACGAATTCCATAGTTTTAAATTTTAGTTGGAATTTCATTGCATCAGAATAAATTGACCAAATCCTCAATTCTTTAAAATATGCCTAATACCACCTATCTCAAAAAGACATTATGAAAGTCAATGATTCAAGTGTTAAAATGATTACTTAAATTATAAAGCACGAGGCACATCTTAGCATGAATATTCTACCTAACTTATCACAGAGAGGTGGCCTGATGCAGAGGGAAGAGGAATGAATGGAGAAAAAGCACAGCAAGACAATGATGGACACCTGGAATCTATCCCTTGCCACGTGTGACATTCCTGGTTTCAGAGAAACAGCAGTGGGCATGAAAAACGCTGCTGGGAGGGAGAAAAGCCACAAGGAGTTAGCTTCCCTTGTTCAACCACTGCTCCACTTTCTTTGAATGAGTGCGTAACACCACTTTATAGCAGGCTTACGCTAGCTAATCTACCAGAGTGGGCATTGCGTTTTCACAAGTGCTGACTCTCCGTCTGAAGGGTATGCGCCTCATCCTAGATGGGAAGACATACTTGTTGTCATAGATTCATACCATTCGGGTGAGGATACAGAACCACATAGATGTTGGAGGAATGAGAAGCACTCAATGAAGCCAGTGGGGCACTGCACACAGGAGGTAAGTATCTCTTCCTCCAGAGGATGCTAGAATGACACTTATATCATATACCCTGAGGCCTACTGCAGATGCCAAGAATCCTCCTAACCTTGCCCAACAGTCTCGGTCTCCTTACCACTACTGCAGCATTACACTCACATGCACACACATGTACACACATACATACACAGAACCACCTATGAAGAACCAAGAGACACTCTGGAAAGGAACCAAAGAAAATTCTTCAGGAGCCTAGAAAAAGACTAAACTAATTATTTGCTAGTCCTATTGTCAAGCTGTCTGACATTAGCCAAGTTTCATATAGTTTCAAGTTTCACTTCAAAACATTTACATAAGAGTACCCCTGATGTTTTACAGTGGTTTTCCTTGTTATAAAACTCTCAAAATATTGACCTCCTTGGAAACATTTCTTCTTACACTCCATTGCATTTTATAAATATCTCTTCTTTGGTTTCTTGAGTTGCCATTAAGTACACCCTGGCTCCTCCCATGAGAATCTCAACTCTTTACATCTAGTTTTTGTCCTCTATTGTGGTGACATCATCACTATTTGTTAAGAAAATGATTATTGTGTCTCCAAGGTTCCATCCCCATACGTAATCCATTAAAATAAAATGAGTTGTGCCATGAAAAAGATGCAGATTCAAACCCCTAAGGAATTGTATGTCCTGAGAAGACAAATAAGCAACAGAAACAACTCAACACGGAAATAGCTATACTGATTGGAAGAAAAAGCATAAAGCTTTCGTTGCAATCATTACAATCTGTTTCAGGCACTACGTAATTGTGTTTATAAGCCAACAGAGTCACAATGTTGAGAGCTAAAAATCAGTGTGGCTCCAGTTTACTGATTATGAAGCTGAGGTACACAGAGTGAAAAAACCTGCCATTTGCCAAGTATTGAATTAATAGATAGTGGTATAAAAGTCACTAAGATGTCTTTCCTGGTCTCAAAGAATGCTGGTCACATTTTGAGCAGCCTTGTTTGTAACAAAGCTTGGCTGTGAGGCCTGTAAGACTAGAGACCTCCTCACTGACTGCCAAATGGCCAATGCCTAAGAGTTCCTGGAACAGAGATGTTACACAGTAAGTGCTTGCGGAATGAACAGCACATCATTTCCTTAGTCACACTTCTGTCAGCTTTTTTTTCGAATGCACGGGCTGCTCACTGAAAATATAATGATCAAACATACCTTGGATTCAGTATATCAATTTTTACATCTGCAATGATGTATTTGGATTTTTCCCTTCATGCTATTTACCAAAAATAACCTCTAAATTCTGCCCCATCTTGTCTTTAAATTAAATTGGAAATACAAAATTGTACTATTAACACTTTTACGAAATTGGAAAAGCCTAATTTAAGGAAGGCAAATAAAGTAGAACTAGAAATTCCTCTGGTAGAAGAGAAATTACTTATTTCAAGCCAGTGTCTTCTCTGTTATCAGTGCGCATGAATCCCTTGCACTTTCATCACAATAATTGCCCAAGAACAATGATATTAAGTTTCATTTAATTTACTCTCCTTTGAAATTTGAGCCAACACAACAGGCAGTCAGTTTATGTAAGCTGAAATGTAAAACCTTTTAGAAATCTTTACAGGCTTTGCTGTATTTCTGTGTCATCAGCCTAGACAAACTGATTTTCCTTTTGAAGGATGATCTTTTTTTTTTCATTTGATTTTTTTCGCACTTTTCCAACAAACCTGTTAAATGGCTAGGTCAAAGGTCATTCAGCAGGATACTGAAACAGGACTTACCTGTAGTTTTGCTTCTCATTTCCTATGTGGAACCTGTCATATTGTGAATAGGCCCGGTTTCCTTCCCAGTCCATTAACTCGATTCTTAGTGTATACTGCCTCTGACTGGTTATGGCAAAAATAAATTCATTTCCAAGCCAATATTCGCCAGAGGGATTTCCAAAACCCTGGGAAGAAAGATAAAGATGTAGTTATTTCTTTAGAGCGAAACTCTTTTCATGTTCAGCATTTAACTCTTTTCTAATAAAATTTCACATATTTTTTCCAATTATTGACTTATTTCAACATATTTTTGCTATTTTCTCTTGATTGAGGCTTAGATATAACTCTTATCACAATAAAATCTGTTATCCAAACCTGCATAGATGGAGACATTTTTGGATTAAATAAACTTGATTAATAGGTTTCCAGGGAACACTTCTCAATTCAACGTTTGCTTCTGCAAATGTTTTTAAAACACTAGTTAATGCAATATTACTAAAGTAATTTGAACATTTTTCCATGAATACTGTCAGAGTAGTGTCAAACAAATTATTTAGCTATGGTGTTATTGTTGGTATTCCATTTCAATTATGTTCCCATAACAACTTTGCAGATTACCAGACCTTTGACTATGCCATTTATATTTTGAAAATATTAATAAGCAAGCTTGTATACCCATGACTACAATCACCTCTAGTACACTACTGGCCTGCATTTGGAGTCTGAAGCAGAAGGGAGACTGGCAAAGCTAGTGAGTGACCCTTAGCTGGCTGCTTTGCATTGAGTCTCAGCATGATTCTTTTGTTCGCTGGAGCAATTCCAGGCAGAATTGTTAAATATTCAAAATAGTTCTTTTGTGGGAAGAAAATAAAAGGGGTCTCTAGAAAAAAGCTAAATCTTAATGTTGGAGATCTTAGTGATAGGAAAAAAAAAAACTAAGAATGGGTAGCATTCTAGGTTTTGGGTATTCATAGTGGCCTCAGAAAGTACTCTCGGGCAATACTTGGAGTTCAGTGCAGTTTTTCATCAACATAGCTGTCCTCAGGACGGATCGTGAGCTCCCTGATGATAGAAGTTGTATTTGTGAATCCTCAAAAACTAGTGCAGAATTGCACCCACTGGGCTGTCATGGAGTTCAAAGAAAAAGGAACAGAGGAAGGGAGAGTGAGGGAGAGAGGGGAAAGCAGGCAGGAAACGGAGGGATGATTCCAGCATTGTGCCCCTCAGGGAAGCAGCCTTCATCACAGTTCTTGAAGACCATAGGGTTGCGCTTCAAGGAAGTGTCTCTAAAGGTGCTCAGAGGTATCACAGTCACTGGAGTTTTGCTTAGAAACAAAAAACTTTGGCTCCACACTAAGTCAAAACATCTGAGAGTTAGTCACATAAACCTGTATCTGCATAAGCTCCCGGATTTGTCTTGTGCACACTAATATCTAAAATATCACTTGCAGTGATCATAGGCTATACACCGATATTTCACAGTAAAGCAGTTCTGGTCAATTGAGGCACTTATTAATAAAGGTTTTATTTATATTAAATATGAGAGAGATTAAAATAATTACAAGAGTCCTTATTTTATCAATATGCATGACAATTTGGAAAACCATTGCTTTCTTTCAAACTTTATATCAGTTTTGTAGAATTATAATTATAGAATTTTTCTTCACTGCTTTCTCCTTTAATGAATCAGTGTTCTTTTTCCTTCTTTGAGATATTCAGATGCACATACTATACTAAATATGCATTAAATATACTTGTATGTGACTGCCTCTACCTAATGAACTACTTTCGAAAGGCCACTGGTGCTTGGTTTCAAACCCATTTATGCTGTTATTGTAATGATAATATTTGCGATATGTTTTGTTGCTAAGTTAAAAGAGGGGAAAGAAGTTTTTTCCATTTTTTTTTTTTTACAAAATTCTAATTTAAATAGCCAGGCTCACTCAACAAAAGCAAACAACTAAAAAAGTTGATCTCAGAAATTAAACGTATAACGGTGACTACTAGGGGCTGGGGAAAGCAGGGAGTGAGGAAGGAAAAGACTGATGAACAGATACCAAGTTACAATTAGATAGGAGAAAGAATTTCTGGTGTTCTATTGCACAGTAGAGTGGGCATAGGTAATGTGTTGTATATATTTTTTAAAGCTAGAAGAAAGGAATTTTGAATGTTTTCACCATAAAGAAATTGTCAGTGTTTAAGGAGATACATTTATCCTGATTGGACTTTCCCAATGTACACCTGCATCACATGGTGCCCCATAAATACAATTTTTATATGTCTGATACAATTTTTAAGAAGAGAAACCATTAAAAATACTTTTCAATTATATGTTGTTGAGAATGTAAAAGACTGGGTAAAATGTTGGGGGGGTTAACTTATACAATTTTACATGTGTCTTTAAGCACTGTTATAGTTTAAGGAAACTCAAGATAGAGCTTGAATACATTCTACTTATGAGAAAGTTTTATGATCCTGAATTCCAGCCTTTGGCCCTACGTTTAAAAAAATGGGTAAATGGGGACTGGTGTTGTGCAAAGCGGGTTAAGTCGCCACTTGCTACACCAGCATCACATTCTGAGAGCCAGTTCCAGTCCTAGCTCTTCTGCTTCCAGCCAGCTTTAGGCTAATACAGCTGGGAAGGCAGCAGATGATGACCTAAGTACTTGGGACCCTGCCACCCATGTGGGAGACTCAGAGGGCATTCTAGCTCCTGGCTGTGGAGTGGCTCACTCAGGCTGTTGTGGCCATTTGGGGAATAGACCAGCGGATGGAAGATTTCTCTCTCTGTCTCTCCCTTTTTCTCTATTGCTCTGCCTTTCAAATAAATCAATAAACAAATACATCTTTTAAAAAATGGGCAAATAAATGCTTGTTTATTTAAAGTTAAAATGAAATTTTAGTATATGTATGCACACTTTTAATGTTGTCTACCGGGGTCTTAGTTCCTTGATTCACTGAAAACCACTTGTCCAGACTGCACTGGGTTTATGTTCCACTCGAACATTGTAGAACTCATTGAAATTGGGCTTCCAGCGGCTCCTTTTTCTGTTTCGGAGAAGCTCAAGGCACACCTCGCAAAAGTTTCACAGTAACAGAAAACATTGGCACAAATTTGGACATGCGCCTATAGCAGCTTGTGCAACATAACAAGAAAAGCAGGAAGAGTGCAGCTTTCAGAGCTGAGAAGTCAAAGAATTAGCACTTTCTCAATCGCAGCGGCCCCTGGGAAGATAAAGAAAGACCCGTGGGCTTTTTCTAGCGTTTCTTCTCAACTCAGACATGTCAAAACTCCCTCTGGCCACTTGATGATTCCCTTTTCCTTGTGATCATTGAACAGGGATGCAGCAATTATACTGAATGTGAATTCAGAGGCTGGGAAGGATGAAGTGTTAAGTTTTAGGTCACATATTTCCATGCTGTTGAAAGCATTGTGTGGATAAAACTCCCCAGCTTCCCCAGGGAAAAGTGTGATCCTAGGCAAGCCTCAGGAATGGACCAGCAGCAGTGGAGTCATTCTTAGAAAAACCTCCATCCCTGTGCCTTGGCGTGCAGGCCAATAACCCCTTGGTTGAAAATAAATATCCCTTCCTAACACTTTGCTTTTTCTTCTTTCAGGAAAAAAAGCAACTGAAAGAAAAGCAGTGAAATTTTCATTTAGAAACCAAAATTCTCGGTTTCATACACTTCCCCAAAATGCTTTATTATAGAGGCAAAATGTTTGGCTACCATGAATCAAAATGGCTGTTAGACAGTTCAGGGAGGAAACCTTCTAATAGCCCAGGACAGTGATGCAGAAATGACTGTTTCATCGTAAAGATGAAAAATATGGGAAAGGAGAGGAAATGGGTTCCCACGTTAAGCAACTGGAATGGAGAGTCTAGTAGTCAGGATCAGAGATCTATGCATAGAACAAAGGCTTGGCTTGGGTCAAGCAGCCTTTACTGCTCATCTCTGCTCCAGTAGGAAGCCTTGCTCTGACACACACGTATTTGTTGTGGAACTTCCTGCTGTCTTTCTGAGCCTCAGCTTCCTTCCTTGTAACATGTGGATTCAAACTGTCATTTCCATATACAAAGCCATGAGGATGAAATACATAGAGACCTCAAAAAGTTCGAGGACAATGAAATTAAAAGATAAGTTTATGTTGGTGCAAAAATTTTTGAAATCCACATATGTGAAGGGTCTTCAAGCAGGTTATAGAAAATACATGTTATGAAAAACTATGCAGATTTAAAAATTTGTTTGCAATAAAATTAAGGGTAAGAAGTCTTCTTTCTCCTCTGAATGAACAAGGAAACAAAAAAATTCTAGAGGTTTGTCTTAGTCTGCAACTAATTAAATTAAAATTTAAAAGGCTTTCAGATGATAGGGATTCCTGTATTATAATGACAAATTGAGCTTTGGTTTATACAAATGGGTATTACCATTTCAATCCAAGAAGTTAATTATTAAGTAAAACAATAAAAGGAAATGATTACAATGGGAGTTAAATTAAGGTAAAAGGCAAAACATGCTACCTTCTTATTCTTAGATTAGTTTTCTGTTGCTGAAGAGTACCTGTCTCCTTTAACTTTCTCTTGGTTCTATTTCTTTTAATCCTTCTCTGCATCTCACAAGTTTTAGGATCTACAAATGAGGTAATTTTAGGTGACAAACAAAAAGTGGAGAATCATACAAATGTAATGTGGACTAGCCATTCCAAGTAGAAACCAGAGAGAATGCATTAATCAGACCAAACTGCGGGGTACACAAGGAAATGGCATGCATCATAAAAACCCATCTCCATAGTGATGTCCACTTCCATCTTTTGATTAAGCATATATGGGATTTTACTTGAAAAAAAAAAATCACATTCATGAATAAAAGATAGAGATGTCAAATATGCATCCAAAAAACAGGTTTGCATGTAAAAATTTACTATAGATCTATATTTTACTGCAAAATAACCTGTGACATTTATAAAAAAAAAAAAGCTTCTATAAAATTCAACGCTGAAACAAAAATAGCAACAGACAAATACAAAAACAGAATTTCTTCTTTTTATGAATACAATCCAAGGATGCATGTGGTGTACTTCTGTGAAAACTGGGCTCAGTTATGTCAATAATAGCAGTTTGAAAGATTTTGATTCCATAATTCAGATACATTGTTAATCAACTTGATTTATTCTCAGTTCCTTAATGAAAGAGTGCGAAAGACAACTGAATTTGACCTAAATGCCAACTTCAAATTGGTCTTTGTATTGAAATATAGTTTACTCAAAAAATTCATGAAGAGAAAAGATTAATATTCATTAGTTTTTGCCAAAACCTGCAGAAATGTTCAATTTCAGTTTGTGCTGCTCCAAGTTAATGGAATAATTGTCTCTGATACTTTATTTGTTTTGTCTGATAATGTTTGTAGGAAGTGTTGACTTTTTACAGATGAAGCAAAATTGAAACCAGACATAGCACATGAATCCGATGGGTTTCACTTTTTTCCATACAAATTTTTAAAAGAAGCAGATAAGATTGAGCTGTAGCTTTCCAAAGGTTCTTTAATACACTCTTAAATTGTGTATCTCTGTCAACTGCTGAGAAAGACCACAAAAAAGATTTTGAAATTTTCATTTTTTATATATTCTCCTCATTTTAATGTGCCAGTATTAGGGTACAGCTTAAAATGTATTCTTAACTTCTTTGCAGAAGTAAAAGGTTCCCGGAAGGTAAGGTACTCAGACTAAAATGGTTGTGTCCATAGGAATCTTTGTTTATAGGGGGTAATTGTTTTCAAAACAAAGCCAGTTTGTCTCCAGGGCATTAGTCACCGCCTACTATGAAGTTAGGCCAGTTAGGGTACTATTTGGAACTTCCAGCTTCATTGATCTTTATATGCAAAAGTACTGCTGATAAGTCTTGTTGCCCAAGGCTACTAAATGCTATCCATGTGGCTGAAAGGAGTTAATATGGTTCCCTAAGTGCCTCATTAAAAAGCCCCATCCAGACTTCCCTCAAAGCAAACATCTTTACAAATCCATAAACCAGATTTTGCTGAAATCTCATAAGTGAGGCTTACTGAAAACAAAGCTCAGATAAAAGACCTTTGTAGGCTTAAAGCCAGTGTTAAGAATCCATGAGTTGCAAACCATCCATGTTGAAAAAGGTTTAAAAACAATAAGGATCATATATAACATATATGTGTAATTCCGTATGTTGACAACTTTAACATACTGATCTGGAAAGCTTATGAGGCAAGAGGTAGTCCATAGATGTAGACCGATATGATGAGTTGGAGGGAAGAAAGGGGAAAGGAAGGAGGGATGAAATGCTATTTCTACACTAAATGCCCAGGGAAGAAGTATAGTGCCCAACTGTATACAACAATACATAGGTGAAGACCGAGAGGAAGGAGTGCGTGCCTAGTTCTTTCCTCAAAGGACAGCTACCCTAAGCAGGACTGGCCAGTTCTTCAAAGGCAGGGAACAGGATAGGAGTTGGCACAAGAAGTGTACGTCCATTCTTGGTGGAATTGCGTCATTTTGTCTCTACAGGAAAGGGAAGCTCAGAAGGAAAAACCTGAAGTGCTTTCTACCAAGTGTTTTGATGAATGTTAACCAAGTTATAACATATGACGAACTTTAAAAAGTTGTTCAGACTCATTTTTGCCAGAATGCTTCAAAAATTCAGTTTATTTTGTTTTCTGGCCATGCAACTGATAAAAATTTCAAGTTTGAATAAAGTGTGATAGTCTTTTTTATTTAAGAAGGGGGTGGAGGGAAAAATGATTAACAAATAAGTTCAGTCTTTTTCCTATAAAGAAAAAAAATGCTTTAAAATGTGTATAGCTGTTAACTAGTTCTAAAACATTTATTGTATTGATTACATACTCATTAAGTCAGGATCTCTTACTAAACTAGCCTTGCTTGCCAAGGGAGTGCATGCTTACAGTTAATAATTGACTGTTTTGGAAAATTTTCACAATAACTTTATATTCATTTGTCTTTTGTCATTAGTTTTAATAACGTATTTTAGATTTGCCTGAATCCCTATCTGATATCTGGTTCTCAGATGACTTCCTCACATTTTATTTTTATTTTAGTTTATTAGAAATTTATTTATTTATTTCAATGGCAGACTTGCAGAAAGAAAGAGACACATATATAGAGCTTCTTTCACTCCCCAAATGTTTGGAATGGCCAGGGCTGGGCCACGCCAAAGCTAGGAGCCTGGAATGCCATTCGCAGCTCTCATGTGGGTACAGTGGCCCAAGACTTAGGCCATCTTCTGCTGCTTTCCCAGGTGCCTAAGTGGGGGACTAGATCAGAAGTGGAGCGGCTGGGACTTGAACAGGCACTCATAGGGGATGCTGGTGTCCCAGGGAGTAGTTTAATCCACTGTGTCGCTAGGCTGGCCCCCCTACATCTCATTTTAGTAGTGAAAATAATCATGAATTAAGGTGGCTCACAAACTCATTCTTTTAACACAGTTAAGTAACTCTTTTTAGCCTTTGATGTTTAATCTTGGATAATAATAACTGTTGCATACTGACAGTTCTGTGAGTCAAAGTGCTTTATGTATATGATTTCTAATCCTCATGACATCGCTCCAAGGCAAGATAGGGTGTGGATTTAGTGATTTGAGAAAACTTACTCCTCTTCTAATTGATAGAGTGGAGACTCAAACTGTTAGCATGGACATAATTCAAAGTCCTCTTCCAGAACTGAGATATTTCCACCTTCCCAGATGTTTTTAGAATCGCATGGGCAGAATGAGACCTTAAAATCTATCCTGAAATTCCAATGCTCCTCTTAGAGTATCCTTAAAGATGATAATCAACATGCTACCGAGCTTTTCAGGGTTTACAATACCAGAACATTTCATGTTAGAGAGAATTGATTACCAGAGAGTTTTGTTCATACTTCCCTGGAATCTGTCACTCTGGAATGTTCCTGCAGTCATTATAGAACGTCCCACAAAAGTGCTAAAATGCAGATTCTAACTCAGTTAAGTCTGGGATGAAACTTAACATCCTGTGTTTCTAGTAAGCTCCAAGATGGAGCAAATGCTGCTAGTCCATGGACCATGCTTCGCACAGCAGGCTATAGGACCACATGCAACCATCCAGTCAATTAAAATAGCCATCAGACAAGTTCTTGCTTAATTCTTTTTCCTCCAGGTTAAGTGGCCTCAGATTTGCCTGCTGTCAACATGATGTCTAGATTCCTCCCATCCTACTTGTTACCTCTACAATAGGTTCACTTGTTTGAAAACCTCCTGAATTGAAAGTTTATTTCTTTAAAAAAAAAAACCCTCATCTTTTAATTCCGCTCTTTTATAATAAGCTTTGTAAAAAATCAATTTACCTATTTATTGAATTTATTTGAAAGGAACAGAGATAGAGAGATTGTTCCATCTGCTAATTCAATCTATAGATGCCAGCAATATGCAGTGCTGGACCAGGCTGAAGCCAGGAGCAAGGAACTCAGCCCAGGGCTCCAACATGGATGACAGCTACCCAAGCACTTGAGTCATCATCTGCTGCCTCTCAGCATTAACAGGAAGCTTGAATCAGGAACAGAGCTGGGAATCTAACTCAGATACTTCAATATGGGATGTGGGCATTCTAAGCAGTTCCTTAACCACTGTGTCAAATGCCTGTACCAAAAACTTATCGCTTAAGAAAACTAGATCATGATAGTCATCCGTGAAATCTATGTTTTTTTCATCTCAAAACTACTATTAGGGTAGACTAAGTCCATTAATCTGTGTTTTTATATAGCCAACAACACAAAAACTTACACACAAATAAATCTCCCATCTTTCAAAAGCAATTTATCACTTTTATTCTGTATTCTTAGTTAATTTTTAAATATATTTTTCTATCCAGGTGAAAGATTTTACAATTATCTCCACAGAATTCTATCTTGTTGGCCCTATCCTTTCTATCTTAAGTTACAGTTTATTAAAGACATTAAGATCCTACCTGTTTTCAGAGTGTTTAATTAAGTATCTCAGATAAATGTTGTGGACACAGTGACATCAGGGGGCCTTCCGTTCATTTATTAGAGTGCTTTGTAGACCACTGTTTGATCAATTATGCAACTACTAATGGGTGAAGTGTGGTATCAATCAATCACCATTTATCCTTGTCTACAAATGATATTAAGACAAGAATTGTCTAGAAATTTTCAATACAAAAGAAGGAGAATTAGTTCATAAATAGAAAGCTTTCTCTATTACTGTTCCTTGGCATTCAGCCAGCAGATTTTAATGGTTAATATTATAGGCATTGATTACATGATTATTAGACTATGGATTAAATGAATTGTCTAATATATTATCTTGTAAAAGTTGATCTCTCTAATCTCTGCTTCTTTCTACAATGGGAATAGTATCAGCTAATAATTTTATACAAAAATTAGATAAGAATATATGTACAGGGAGAGCACATATTAATCTTTAATGATGATGACGATGGTTACAATGATGGTGATGCCTACTGTTACTCTGGAAGCCTCAACAAACCATGCCTCACAATACATAGCCTTGAATACTCCTCTCACCTTGAGTCTAGACTGGCCTTGTGATTAATTTCAACCAATATCATGCAGTCGGAAAAATCAACACCATGGCATTTTTTGAGCTTAACAAATTTAAAAAACCTGAAAGCTTTTACTTCTCTGCTTGGGAGATGCCAACTGTCACTTGAGAATTTTAATCATAATCAGAGAAGCCCATGTTAACCATATAAAACAGTCATGTTGGAGAGATCTGAGCCACAACCAGCAACACCTTGTGAGCCACGGGAGGTGAGGCAGTTGTTTTCTGCTCCACAACCGACTCCTGCAGAGCTTTCATACCTTGGTTCTTGTATCTAGCCTGGGTCTGAGTTCTAGCTCCCTCCACCCTTACTCAACTAGGAACAAATCCAGATAATATATAACAATCCACCATATAATTATAGTAACTCACTTTGCATTCTGATGCACACATGGAAATCATTTACGGAAAATGATTTATGAGTTCTTTCTGCCTAATGAGACTAACATCATTAATATCTCTTTATTTTTTAAGTATCTCAAACACATCTAAAAATGCAAAGGTTTATCATAACTGAAGACAAGCTTTGTGATAAAACATCAAAGAACACTGTAAATTCTTCCATCTTACCATTTTATATTCTTTCCAGCCTCTTTGGAAATCCAGGCTTCCATCTTCACGATGTTGTATTACAGTCCAACCTCCCCCATTAAGATCCATATTGCAAAACACCTGAGAGAACAAAGGGAAAATCAAGTGAGAATTATGTCCATTTCATAGAAACATGTAAATGATCTTTTAAACTAGGAATAGGATAATAGGTTTATAGATTGGAAGAAAAATTACTATGTTGGAAAATGTTAATTGAAATATATTATTGGTATTTCTGTCAAGGGTACATATTTGAATGTTTCTGATTAAATCCCATCAATGACATACAAATTACTTGCAAAAATTTAAATCAGTGAGCAGAAAAACAGACTGTAAAACAGTCAGAAAAATCTTTGTCCTAAACAGAGACAGGCACTTATGCATATTCAGGTTCTAAAAACATAATTTGTTTCCAAAATTATAGATTATTTTACTATCAAAATAGATGACTATAAATTTTGATAACTTTAATTGAAATAATAAAGTCAAGACAAAGATTTTAGACAAATAATTTTTTAAATTACATATATTTAACTTTTATATTTTATTGCATATTTACTTCTCTAGACTTACATATTATAACAGTTATTCTTGGTTGTTCAATGCTACAAAATTTGGTGCTCAGCATATGGAGAACACATTATTTGCTTAAATTTTAGTCACAAACAATAAGTAGAGAATATGACATCCTGTATTCTTTCTAACTGCGACAAGCATTTCTTTCCCATGTGGAAAAGTTATCCAAATCATTCAAATACATGCTTATTTCAATTATTCTAAATACAATAGTATTTATTTAGAATTGATTCATTTCCCCCCAGAGTTCACCCAAGGATAGAAACATATTTGTAATAGGATTATCTTTGGAGAGCAATCACTGTAATTGATGTAGTATGAATGTGGCAGCTTGATTATTCAAGGATTGGGCTATGGGGAACACCATTCCCCTAGCAACTGAACACTAAAGCATTTTGAAGGCTGGCTAAAGGTGTGGATATGATGCAACAGCAGCAGACAGTCACAGTGCTAAGCTCTGATTAGAGGAAAAACCTCTAGTGTTTTCCCCAAGGCATTACATTTGGAGCAGAGATAGCTAAAGGGTATGAAAGCAATGGCAAGAGCTGTCATTCAAAGAACAAATTGTCCATGTGCTTCCTCAGAGTGAAAGAAACTAAGATATCCATGTCTATTTGTGAGCATATAAAATAGGACAACTGTTCTCCTGAGGGCGCTCCTCTAATTTGACAACAGCCACCCACCCAGCATGTCTTCATTATCCCTAGGAATTGACTAACCTCCAAGATTATAAATTTGAATTCCCCTCCCTTTCCCTAGGTTCCCCCTCTGCTAATCCTTTAACCCTTCTGTATCTGCTCTTTGTCCTCAACTCAACCCCTGTTAATCTTTCCCCATTCTTAATTCTAATTTATTCATTCACTTATTTTTCACTCAACAAACATTGTTGGGCACTGATTCTGTTACAACTGGGGATATTATGATGAATAAAGTATGGCTCATGACCTCAAAATGACTCAGTCTTTGGAGAGTCACTGCTCCTAGGATTAAGGAGACATTAGACATCAGAATTTTAAACTCTACTAACTTAAAGAATGACAGGCAGTGATCCAAATGAGAAATTAAAGCCAAAGAGATAACAAGTGAGAGAAGAAAATGATCATGATTTCAGACACCAAATGGTTAAGGTAGCATGGACATCCAAAACGAAGTTTTTTGAACAGATATCAATGCCCTACTAGATGAAGACTGAGAACAAAAATGAGAGCTGGAAGTATAAAGGAAAAAGAAAAGAATAGTTGGGGTGGGCATTTGGCCTAGCAGTTAAAATGCCAGTGAGCATACCTTTGTCTTCAGAGTGCCTCTGAAGGCTCTTGCTCTTGACCACAGTTTTCTGCTAATGCAGACCCTGAGAGGCAGCACAAATAAGTTAAGTAACTGAGCTGCTGCCAACCACAAGGGGGTCCTGGATTGAGTTCCTGGTTCCTGGCTTTTACCAAGCCCAAGCCCAGCCCTGGCATTTAGAAGGTGAGAATGTTCTTTCTCTCTATTGCTTTCTAGCTCTCCCCCTGTCTCTCTTGCTCTCTGCCTCTCCTTAAATAAAAACATTTTTAAATTAAAGAAATGGTAATTAATGTATTGTGCTTGTTAAGTGCCAATAATTTAAATTCTTTACGTGCATGTTGTAATTTTATCTCACAATAATCCTATGAAGAAGGTATGATATTATTTTCATTTCACTGATTTAAAAAATAACTTGACGTTTAGGGCATTTCAATAACTTACCAATGGTTATATTGATTTTAATTAGATGCGAACTGGATTTAGGATTTAAGCCCTATTACAGAATCATTAAGAGAAATATGCTTGAAAGGAGTAATTCATGGCATGAAGATAGGTGCATTATTTAAAGAAGTAAAGAAAAAGCTGTTAAGAAATGTTTCTGTGATGAAGGGAGGCAGGTTCAAGAATGGGCTTTGGTGAATAACTGCTACAGACAACATGCATTACTAACTTTTAGATGGGCAGATATTTTATTTGCTGCTATCCATAGTACCTAGAGCAATACTTAGCGACGAGTACTGAACGAATATCTGTTGATTAACTAGAAATGCAATATAGTTAAAGTAAGAAAATTTAAGTAATGGAAGGCAAAGTAAATTGGAGATGGATAATAAGTTCAGGTGGTGGTTAACTTAATGTTCCAGAAAAGTAAGATAAATAAAGATGGGGAAAATAAATGTGTACATTTGGAGTAAACAAGCCTTGGCCAGTGAGATTGCAGGATTCCTGTGAGAATAAAATCAGATGGCAAAGTTTAAAGAACTCATGGTAGTGAATCAAAAAAGGTGGCCAACATGGACCTTTCTGATGCTACTTAAGCCATAATGCCAGGAAGTGAGAGTATCAGGCAACATTTTGCTAGAGGAACTAATATTCAATTAAATTTTATTCTGCCCTGACTGCTTAATCTTTCTTGTTTTTTTTTTTAAGCATATTTTTATTTCCCAATGGACACTGATTGCTTAAAGTTGGTCAGACTCTGTTTGTTAGGCTGTAAAGTCCAGGCATGTGCCTAGGCAAAAGAATTGCTATGTTAATAAATATGGATTGTATAGGGAAAACTGTACTGCAGGGATGTTGTCATCTAGGTTTTTCTAATTGTATAGTACTTTGTTTTAAAACCACTCCCAGATTTTTGAAAAGGACAACTTTCTTTGGAAATTAAAGCAACCAGTCCCTTGTAAATGTTAAGAACTGAAGGGATAGCATCTTAGGTAAGGGCTCAGAGAAAACCAGAACTCTGTGAGGGAACAGAAAATACCCAGGGAGATGACTGGGTTGGAACCTGAGGTGCAGAGAGGTTAGGAGTTAAATATATGTCACAATTCTTACTAATAGCACCGATGATAATCAGCCGCCATTTGTGAAGAAAGGGCACAATGGAGCTAAATGACACATTGGTCCCATTCGCACTCTTAGATCTTTCGCGAGGATTAAATAAGCCAATATAGAGATTGTTGAATAGAATAGAAAAGAAAAGAATTTGGTCTGTAATAAAGATTCTCATTACACTTTACCTCTTAGATATATTTTGTATTATGTATTATATAAAGTAATTTTAAAGATTACTCTTATTACATATTATAAAGCTATATAATATTTCATATTTGTTATTTACAATTTATTATGATTAATATGGAATATATAAAGCCAGAATATGTTGAAGTTCAATAAATTTTCCTTATGATTACAATTATGGTTACCAACTTCAAGTTAATAATACTGGCATCACAAATCCTTAAACAAGCTATTTTTTACCAATGTTAAATTTAAAAGTTGAATTCACTCTAGCCAACTCCTGCACCCCCCAGAAAAAACCTTTCTACTTTTCTGCAGAAGAAAAATAAAAATCATATGCTTAACAGATGAAGAAAGCTAAGGAAAATAGATGGTTGGTTTCAGACCCACTTGAGACCTGAAAGGACGTGAAAAGTTCACTTGCCACTGTTGTGTGGTCTGTGCTGTCGGCGGTGTCCTGCCTGTGGACATGACCCTTACTATGCCTGATGCATTTACTGATCGGATAACCTGGCTTTAACTCTAACCAAGGGAAGAAGGAACTGGCTCCCATCCCAGGCAGGGTCAAAGCTTTCAAGCATTAAACACCTTTTAACATTATGCGGAGGTTTAAACCCAAACAAAAAGGAGAAATTTGATTCACATAGTTTTTATGCCTTTATTCTCCATACAAGTTGGAGTGATTATTCTGTGAACACTGATTTTTTTTTCTTTAAACTTAAATTAAAAGGACTCAACTCATTTGTTATAGTCCTTTTGCAAGAATTAGGAGAATTATGAGTTCAAATAAAAATTAATATTTTATAATAAATAAGTTATGATTTCATGATTTGTTCTTTTGGAAGAAAGTGAGCCGACTATAGAGTATTTGCTTATAGAAAATTATAAAATGAATGGAAAAATCCTGTTTCCTACTAGTATGCATTGAAGAGAATTCAGAGAGGAAAGTAACCACAAGCCATTAATAATATGAAACAAAAAGGAGAAATATAAAGATCTTAATTCTCATTTTCTATCTGTTTGAATAATTAATCCTAGAAACACATCTTTTGTTTCCACATGATATTTGAAAAGATACTTTCCCAACTTTTGCAGACATCCCTTTTGTGGCATGGAACAATGCCTGCCAAACAACTGCGTAACAGTTCTGTTACACATGTAACTCTTACTCTACCATAAAGATCCAAATTTCTGTTAATTTTCTTTTCAGACGTCCTAAATAGCTCAGGTTTTACTGTTTGGCCCATATCCTATATCACAAGTATCTGGTCATCCTCTTTCGTTTTTTCTATTGGTTGTGTTGAGTTTTCTACCCTTGACAGGGCTTCGGAAATCATTACAAGGGCAAACCATTTGCTAAGCAAACCCAAGGGTAGCACTGATGTCTGTATCTACAATGTGCTTAAAGGGGGGATATTGTAAAGACAAATTTTCCTACCACTTTTTTTTAAAAATAGAATTAAGAGAATACCAATGATCTATATCAAAATAGGAGAAGAAAATGAAATTATATGATGGTAGGGAGTGAGAGTAATTGTGATTGGATCATGGATCAGTTTATCTAATTTCTGACAATAAACCTTTGCCTATATGACTTATGTCACCTATGTGTTTATTGCTCCCTGGAATGCTGCAACTTTAGCCATCACTAAAAGAGATAATTATCCTGCTTAGCCCTCTGGTTAATAAGACTCCATTAAGTCAGAGTGCTTTGTTTCAAAACCAGTGTTCAATATTTACTAACTATATGGTTGGGCAAGTCATTTTTCTAAAATAAGAACAAGAGGATCCGTGCCACCACATTAAGAGTCAACGAGTGTGTATGTGCACATATGTGCGTCTGTGTATGGATAAAATACAGACAAAATAAAGCTTTGAATAGGACCTGGCAAACAGAATACTCAATACACTGAAGCAGAGAAATGTACCCTCCAGGCTTCTCTTTTACAGATTTGTGAAATGAAAATCTGTTCTAGACTGTGAAAGAGGACAGGGTGGTCTTCTGCCCTGACAAAAGCCCAGTTCTACAAGCTGCTTGTTTGCCAATTTCATCTCAAAATGTTTCCAACTAGAGTCGAGCTGTGATAACATTGGAACTAAACTTCAAGGAGTGATCAAAACTTGACTCAAGGTTGTGCTGCCCACTTCCCCCAGGGCCACATGGTAGGCCTGGCAGTGGGGTTTAAAAAAAAATTAAGAAGTGTGTTGGAGCTGTGGCAAAGAAGACTGAGCCTCTGCTGGTGCTGGCATCTCACATGGGCTCCAGTTTGTGTGCTGGCTGCACCTCTTCTGAACCAGCTCCCTGCTAATGGCCTGGGAAAGTGGACAAAGTTGGTCCAAGTGCGTGGGCCCCTGCATGCATGTGGGAGACCCGGAAGAAGCTCCTAGCTCCTGGCTTTAGATCTCTCAGCTCTGAATTATGGCAAATTGGGGAGTGATCCAGTGGATGGAAGACCTCTCTCTCTCTCTCTCTGGCTCTACCTCTCTCTGTAACTCTGCCTCTCTAAATAAAAATCTTTAAAAAAAAGTGTGAATGTTTTCAATCTGAAAACTTTGAAATTGATATTATATTCATATCTATCATGGAAATATTAGAGTTCTAAAAGGAGGGTCACATCATATGTTAGTTAACTCTACTTTTATACAAACTATTAGTGGAACTGACAATAATAAAAAGATTCTTTGAGATCTCAGGTAGACTATAGATAAGCAGAATATTTAATTTTTGAAACTGCCACTCCCTTGGGGCAGTTTCTTACCTACTTTATATGTTATTTATGTTCTGTGTATACATCTGCTTGTGTGTGTGTGAGTGTGTGTGTGTGTGTGTGTCTGTATGCTGAATTTAAGTTCAAGTAGGATTTTAGGATATGGAAAAGGCTCCTCCTACAATAAATTACTCTCATTTCCTCACTTTCAAACCCATTTTATCTTTATAGTTTTTTTGTTTGTTTTTTAAGCCTTGGAACACTTGATTCATGATATCTTGCTCAGAAACCCAAAATGAACAAGTATTTTGATGAAACCACATTTCTCTGGTAGGTGGCCAAAGTCGCCATGTACAGATCTGTGCCTGCTGCCTTTCCTCCGGCCTGGGCTGGCTCTTCCCTGAATCTTCCTCGAGAAGAAAATCGAAGACTTCTTTTGAGAAGAAAAATTTGGCCCAGCAAAGAGGACTAGAGACAGTGAACTAATTTAAACCAGAAATCCTTAAGGAAATTAGGAGACAGAGGACACTGGTAGAAGGAGAACTAGATCTGACCAGACCTTGAGAAGGATCCAGACTCACTATGTTGGCCATTAAGCGACATCTGGCAAACTGATTACCGACATTCATTTCCCCTGCTTGGCAAAGAAGACTAACAATCAGGAAGACTAAGTAACTTGGATTTATGTATTATATACTACATAGAAGCATTGCTATGATCCTCAGCTGGTTATTTATTCACTCACTCATTCCAACACATGTTTGCTGAGGACTTACTAAGTGCAAGAAACCATGCTACACTTCAGGAAATAATAATAATAATAATAATAATAATAATAATAATAAAAAGCAGAGCTCCTGCCTTGCAGAACTCTTGGTAGTGAGAAAGTGTCCCAATTTGCTCCAGGTTGAGGCACAGGGGAAGGGATAGGGGAAGGCCTTCTGGGAGCATCTGCCTGTGACCCAGAGGAAATGGGAGAGAATAATAATTCAGGTGAGGCAAAGAGCAAGGAGAGCTTTTCATCCGTCAAGGCCACAGGGTGTGCTCTGGGTATCTTGTGCTGAGTTAACACTTTTACCTGTTGAAGAGCTGGACTGTTGCTTCTCATTGCATTCCTTTTGGCTGTTCTACCTCAAAGCTCCCTCAAAGCTTCAGATGCACAGATGGGTTTTATCACTATACATCTACCTTATTTTGAAGCAATCTATGAAATTGTTGATTTTTAATACACTGGTAACTACTGGCTTCTGTCTCTGTCTAGTAAGTGACAAATGAATGACACCCACTGAATTGTATTGAAAGCATGGATGGTTGATTTAATGATTAAAATAGGGGGGCAGTATTTAAAGGAGATGTGACAGCAGGAAGATAGGATTCGCTTACTTCAGCTTATTCTGGGTGCAGTTCAACATACGGATGAACCTGATGCCCTAACATTTACTCTTTTATGTAAATATGAAAAGCAAATCCTTCTAAGATGGTAGGTTGAGAAAGGATATTTTTTTCCACCTTCCTAGTAGTGATTCTGCAAATATTCAGAGTAAGTTCCCTGCTTCCTGACCACAATGTGTGGAGAGTAGATAGAAGTCTTTGCATTCTTAGGACTTCAGAAGATATCTACCTCACATTCTCAAGGTGGATGTGGCCCTGGCATTGCAACCTCTATAAAATAATCACTTATAAGCAATGAGATATCCAGGAATAGCAGAGAAAAAAATTGTATGAAAGAAGGATGGGATGGATGTCAGTAAATAGAGTTTTCATCTTTATAGACCTGGGAAATACAGTATTTCTGGGAGAAAAGAGCTCAGGCATATGTATACTTCCAGCTTAACAAGTCCACAAATCAATCTGATTATCCAGCAGTTCAACCAGGATCTGTTTTACATCTTGTAAACAAACACTTCTGCTTTTACCTTTTTGGGTTCTGGCATATTATTAATATAAATAGTGTAGATTCCACTTTTATTAAAACCAGCTTGGTATACATCTGCACAGTCTCTAAATGGTTTCTCTTCCTCTTTTTTTCCTCCCTTTAGTAAAACTGCAAAAAAAATGATTGCAATATGTTAAATATGTGAATATGAATATCAGTACTATTAGTTCCCAAATGGACTCCAAGCATATGTAAGCATTTCTTCCCCACCCTCATAACAAAGGTTAATATTTCATTCACTGAAAAATCAATCACAATGACAATACTTGATTTTAGATGACTTAGAACACTACAAAACTAAAGGAAACTGTTGTCATGCAATTTATATGAATACTTCTATTTTATTTAATTTCTTCATTCTTCTTTTTTCTGTATATCTTTTCCAAAATATCAAATCAAAAGACAAATGACCTGGTTGTCCAGTAGATCCAATTGGTAGTGATTATGTCAATGTTTCCTGAAAGGTTTGTAAGACATTAACTATATTTCATAGGAAAGTTGAAAACAACAAATACTTTTTGAAGGAGGAAGAAATTAAGACAAATTCAAAGAGAAAAACACAGTAACAAGCTTACAATACCAAAAATAGATAGTGCTATTTCTCTGTGGGTTTAGATTGAAGAGCTACTAAACTTTTTTCAACCAAAAAATATAAAGAACAACAACAACAAAAAAAAAACAGAAAACAATAACTGTCAAAATAATTAGATTTGAAAAGTAAAATCATTTTGATCCAATTAATTACCAAGAAAAAAACTGTTAGTAAACTTTGATTTTTATTCAGTTCCCTGAATAGGCAGATGATATATGAATATATCCCTACTAGGCAGATGATATATGAATAAAAGAAAAAAAATCGAATGAATTAGACCTTGAAATTAAGTTAGATAAGAGGAAAGGTCACATTAAGGACTGGAAGTGAAGTGAAGACAGGAAACTTAATTAGGTATAGTCGCTATTGAGAAGAACTTTTATTTTATTCAGTGAGCTTTATCCATTAAATTCTCATGGATGAAAAAAAAATACAAACACATATTTAATAGTTTCTAACTAAAGATCATGCAATATAGTTAGAAAATATTTAAGACATTGTTTTCTAGTAAATGCATATTTTTTATTAATTGATTTTATTCAACCCTTTTCTAGAAATTAAGATTATTTTGTAAACTTGCTCTTAAAGTTTCCTATTATTTAATAAATATCGCCTTCAATCACTTTGAGTCACACTGGTCTATCGTAACAAAAATGTTAAGGTAAACTATGAATCAATACTTTTAGAATAGTTTTAAATGTTCTATAAACTGCTAACCTTACTTAAACTTTAGCTGAATGATGCTTGTTGCAGCTAATAAATAATCTAATCATTGTGGAATAAATTCCTATCTCAATATAAACATTTCAAATTTTCAAAAATACTGAACTATGTTTCAAGAAAGTGAAATATTCATGACTGATATAACACTTAATAACATCACAGTTTTCCATATAGTCAAGGTATGCACTAGAGGCTTTACCTAGTATATTAATAATTACATCTAAACACCACACACACACACACACACACACACGGATGTAAAGAAACACCAGTGAAAATTTATGGTCCCTGGAGAGGATAAAAAACACAGGAAAATGTGGTCAATAGCAACCCATGGGTAAGCCCATTTTTCTCTTTTGGGTGAGAGATGGAGAAAGTCATTTATCGAAGAAGAAAATGCTTCCCTCATCAAATGTACCACTTCCTGCCTTCCATAACTCAGTTATGTGTGCTGTGTGTGTTCCTTCCCACGTCTCTGCCACTTCCCCTCCCCTTGGCCACTGCAAGAAGATGTGGGTGAAGGGGCTACTGATGGGAACAGGGGAGCTGCTTCACACACATTTTCACTAACAGAGCAAAAGGGAACAAGTTGAGTCTTATGTGAAAAATAACTAGAAATTTGTTGTCTAAACCATGAATATAAATTCTATACCTGGGAAAAATGGTTTGAGGATTCTGCCATTCAAAGGTACAATGAGTACAATGGTTACTCTATGAAAATCGTTTTGGCCATTATAATTAACATATATGACATAAATATTTTCTTGAAATTTAGTTCGACATTTTTCAAAGACTGAAAATTACTCAGATTCTTACGAGAAGAAATAGTCATTCTTTCACACACATACACAAAGATTAGACTGCTTGCTTTTAATCACATATGAGTGAGTAAACATTATACTTGAAAGTTTTATTCAGCCTACATTTTAGAGTTTTTGCATTTTAAATCAATTTGAAACCTTGAGCCACAGCTTACCGTTATAGTCTTATTACAACTAAAGCCTGAAGAAGGTTCCCTAGAGAGGGTTAGATTGACCTTTGTCATTAAATCTACTGAATAGGACATTTATAAATAAATATTTCTGAAATAGGTGTGTTAATTATATAAAGTGGGGCGTGAAAAAGCATAGTGAGTACTCAAAACATGGTAGTTACTATTGTTGCTATGGTAATGATAATAATACAGTTAAAGGCAACATTATATTATTGTTCTACAGAAGAGACTTCAGCAGAGAGTGGAAGGCCACCTGGTGCTGTCTGTGGAGTGGGTCATGTTGCTATCTTCCACCCCCAAATTCAAGCATTGCAGTTTGACTGAATGTAGGGCAGTTGAAGTGACTGGTGACATTTAGCATTACCTTGAACTGTTCTCTCCTTGTCAAAAAGTAGGTTAATCACTTTATTTCATTTGGTGACTAAATCAACTGATGCCATTGTTATTTAAGTCTAAAAGAAACAAATATGGATCATGTAATAGTGCTACATATTATAAAATTTGCCTGATTAGCTCAGACATAGATTATTTCAGATTAAATGATATATAATGTATATATCAAAATGTGGATTGTAGGGGTTTCAACCTCATATTTGTTTGAGTGCCTTTTCATTGTTACACACTGGAGTGTTCTGAAGTTCAATGCCACGTTTAAATAGACTGGGCACATGGTACACATTTTGAAAATAGACAATGAAGATGAATGTATTGAACACTGCAGTTGTCAGCAGTAGGGATGCAGTTTTGTCGGTCTTGGAAGTCAATTAGATGGAAGATGGAGCCTGAAGGGAAATGTGGCAAATGAACCAAGATGGACACAGAAGACCTGGTGGAACAGGGTGGAAGAAGCACCACTCGGGCAGAGCTGGGAGAAGTGATCAAAACCCAGATAGAGGTCTTTATGGATCTCTCCTAATGTTTTGAACTTTTAGTAAAAATGGACCAATTTGAAAGCCTGAGTTAAGAAGTAGATCTTTACAACTAGCATTCCTTACTTAACCACAAACTCAGCTTTTCCCTGCCTACTCCTTCATTCCCAACAAGTCTGTCTGCTAATTTGGAGTCCAGATCCCTGACATTCCCATCAGCCCTTTCTGAGTCGCTTCCCTTCTCAATCGTCTTCCTAGTCCTGATTCCACAGTGAGGTATTAAAGAATGGCTCAGGGGCATTTGCAGTGCTCTCCACCCACTCACCCTTGCAAGGATAAATTCTCATCTGTGGACTAGTATGAAATCAGTTACTCACCCCCATGCAAATATTAAATCATTTGTAAAAGACTTCGCATTGCATTGCCTGCAAAGTATAATTTAGTTGTTTTCACTTGTCATTTGTCACTTTTCTCAAGACTAAAAACTTCACTCCTAATTCTTTGTATCTGAACTTTATGACTTACTCTGAAGATGAAAGCCATTTGCCGTGTCTCCTGCACTCCCTTCCTCTATGTCACAGAAGTGATCTTTGCTTTTGACTTGACCTCTCGTAGTCCCTTTTATATGTAGACATCATCTTTGTTGGTTTCTCTTTCTTTCTTAACTTAACATGTAAATATCCACTGATATTCATTTCTTATTCCATTCTTGGGTCTCTATTCCTTAAAATTCAGGTTTTTTCTTTCCAGAAAGCCTGAAAATTACCTATAATGGCTTCACACTTCTATATAGAATTCTAAGAAAAATATACATTTTAGCACTATGTGTTAATTCAACAACTAGTGAACATTTGCTATTTATAAGAATTTTCCTAGGCAATGGAGTTATAGATATTGTAAAACCCAAACCTGCCTTTAATGTGATCATAGCCTGATGGGAGATAGATCCATTAAATTAGGAAATCTTTAATGACAGTTCATGATAGTCATATCCATGATTAGTATTTCCATGAAAGGAGAAAACTCAACTCAAACTTTCCTAAAGGAAAAAGATAATTATTTGGATCATGTAATTGAATGCTCCAGAATAGAACTGTAGGTAAAGTCTGATCAGGTTCCAAAAAATGTGACAAGGAATTGATTTTTTTCTTGATGCACTTGTTCTTGATCTATTACCAGGTCACAATATGGTTGGCGACAGCTTCTATAGCTATAATGTTACCAGTTTAAATACAGCATTAAAGGGAGACAATTGTTATGAAATGCACTAGCTCCATGCAAGAAGAATATATTCCATCTGCCAGGTGGGAAAGACTGCCTGGCAGAGATAACACTTAGAAGAACAAAACATGTAGAAAACCCTATCTGAGCTAAATTTTAAAAGCCTGGTTAGTTCAAAGACTTCACTCACAGCATATCAGCAAATAAATCTAGAAAGTCTAAGGAAGAAATCATTATTCATTCTTTTCATTTAGTCTTATCTGTACAGCCAATCTTTGTCATCTAAAGGGAAAGAATAGAGACAGGAGCAGGTGCATGTCTATCACCGGACAATATTCAGTTAATAAGCAACCCGAGACCCTAACACCAGCAGCTGTGGACCATACCCCTTCTCTTCCCTTCATTTAACCAACCAATTTCACTCCAGATGGTGTATCGGGCCACCAGCCTGATTTCAGGGAAGGACCTTGAAAGGTGAGGTAGAGGGTCACTTCAATTCAGATGAACCCTCAAGAGAAAACTTCCTGGAATGTGGAATTGGGAATTCTGAGTCTGAGCAATCCTAGCAAAGGACACAGATGGCAATTAGCTTTGCTACCAGAGAAAAATGTGAAAAGCCCAAACCCTGGCTCCTATCCATTTCCCAGTCAGTAGCTATAAGGAATGTATCATTCAAATATTCTTTTTAACTGTAAAAGTGACTTAGGTT